CTGCTGTGCGTAAGGCAGAGTCTTAGATCCATTAACTCTTGGATCTCTTCGGTATGAGATGATAGGGTGTGGGAGCCTACTTTTTAAAAGCGTCCATTTTTTTGGAGTGCTTAGGGCATTAACACGTTTTCATTAAGAACATGATGGAGCCCTAGCTGATTTGGCTCAATGGATAGGGCATTGGCCTGTGGACCAAAGGGTCCCGGGTCCGATTCCGGTCAAGGGCATGTACCTCAGTTGCAGGCTCCTCCCTGGCTCTGCCCCTAGTCAGGGCGCGTGCAGGAGGCAACCAATTGATGTGTTCCTCTCACATCGACATTTCTCTCTGTTTTTCTTTCTCTCTCCCACTCTCTCTAAAAATTAATGGGAAAATATCCTTGGGTGAGGATTAAAAAAGAAGAATAGTATGGAAGCAGTATTATAATGATTGCCATTAAGAGCTCAAAACTGAGGCAGGGAGGTTTTCAGCTGCCTTGCATTTCTTTTTCTTGTTGAATTGCCCTGACTAGGATGTCCAGTGCATTGCTGACCGGAAGTGGCCACAGCAGATATTCTTACCTTGTTCCCGCTCATAGGGGGCCAGTGTCCAGCCCTCCACCATTCAGTCGTATGTGAGCTGTCGGTCTCTTCATGGATGTCCTTTATTAAGTTGAGGAAGTTGCTTTCTGTGCTTAGCTTCATAGCTATGGTTTTAACAATTCCATTTTAAACGTGGGAAAACGAAAAGCCTGAAGAGTTAGGCAAACGTTCCCTCCAGTTGTAGGGAACCAGGACAGAATATGGAGAAACAGCGAGGAGCACAGATTCTGGCCTCTCGCTTCCCAGGTTCAGATCCAGGCCTCGCCACTCACCTGCTGGGGGTTACTCAGCGCTTTGCGCTTCCGTTTCCCAGCGTAAAATGGGGGCAACAACAGCATCTGCCTCAGTAGGTTGTTGTGAGGTCTGACATGTATAAATATTTATAATATGCCTAGAACAGTGCCTGGATAATAAAAAGTGCTATATAATATTTTCCTTCTTATGTTCACTTAAAATTCATGAAAGACAACTAGATTCTGCTTCAGGAAGCAAGCCAACCATGCTGGCTTCCAGCTGTGGGTTTTGCTCCATCTTTCGCCCACCCCTGCCATTCGTGGTGGCACAGTGAGAGTTTCAGGCTGGTAGAATCACCACCTAGCTCTACCTCCAGCCCAACCGCGGCAGGAATCCCGTGTGTATGTGGCACCTGACTGGCTGCCGGCTGCCTTGTGAGTGAGAATTCTTCAGGCTGATTGTACACGCAGGAAGCCCGGATTTCTCAGTCCCGGGGAAGGCCAGTGATGTCTGTGGGTGACAGTGAGCTTTCCCAGGGCTGGGAAGCTCCGTTTCCGTGTTCACTACATGCACGGATAGGTCCTCCAGTTGCTTCAACCATGACACCTGACATGGTGCTTGCATCTTCTAGAATACTCCGAAATAAACTCCACGGAGATTCCTGAGGACGGCGGCTCCTCTTTCTTGCCACTAGGGAACTGATTTAGGGACAGGGATAGGGTTGGCTTTTCTGCTTACAGCGGCCCAGATCCTGAGTCAACACCTGAATACACACTGGGCTCTTTTTACTGAGCCCAATGGGGGGTGAGAGAGGAATGAGGCTCCGTCCTTTCCTGGCGCGTTACAAGGACTGCCCTGTGTCTGATTCCCAGGAATCCTTAGTTGGGAGACCTCTTGGTTTTAGATCGAACATGAGTCTCTTCCTGACTGGGCAGCAGGTTGCTTTGCTCAGGTAAACAGTATCGCTCCATAAACAAGCCAGAGGGGAGACTGCTACCAGCAAAGTTAACATTTCCGTTTAAATTCCAGCTCCTGGGAATATCCAGGCTGATTCAACCTTTAGATGTTTTAATCTCCGGAGCCTGGCAACTCTGTTTTCCCTTTTCACTAAATGCTATAGTTGAGGACTTAGAGAATTATGCAAAACACACTTGCAGTACCAGAGTTTAAAGGGGTAGGATCCCCAGTAGTATGGGCTGATGCACCTTTACCCCCCCCCCCTTTTTGTGCTGATTAGGGGTGGCGGGGGGTCTTAAAAATGAGCTACAGGATCCTGAGCAAAGGGTCTCAGGTTTTCTTTGTCCCAGGACTATCTTTTTCAAAAAAATAATTTTGAGAATTAAGTGAAAACATATGCCAAGGTCACATCTGCCGTGTGCATGTACTAACAGATAAACGTGCAAGGCAAAAGCCTGTTTATACCACTAGCAACTGCACTGCAAAACCATCAACAGCTCACAGCCCAACCCAGCTTCCAAAATGTTGGTGTGATGCGTTTAAAATGTGCAACTCTGCAAGGAGGTGCCCACAAAGTCTCTTCTGTGATTTGCATATTCGTGTACAAGAACACAAACCGTTTACATGGGATTTTAGCCCGTTTTAAATGCTCAAAAAAAAAAGGTCCCCATGATTTGCTTTGCTTAAAATGCACACTCAAAACTTTATTAAAAACATTTTTCAAAAAGAGTTTCATAAAGCTAGACACCAGCAGGGCTTTACCGAGGGGTGGAAAATGGATCGTATATCTTTAACCCGCAGAAGTTAAAAGGCTTTTTTTTTTTTTTTTGTTAGCTAACAATGGAAACTTTTTTTTTAAAAAGTGTTTCCCTCCCTCGGTCTTGCCAAGCAATAGAAAAAAAAAAAAAGAAAAAAAAGAAAAACTTGTTCCGCTGAGTTCAACCCCAGACAGGCTCACAACTTCCTTCCTGCTTTCCTCCCCCAACCCCCGCCTTTCACCCTCCTCCCTCCTCACCGCACCCCCCGCCCAAGTTTTTTTTTTTTTTTTTTAATCTCACATTGAACAAACACAAGTCGCCGGGGAGCAGACGCAGACGGGCACTCCTCCTGCGCTTGGAAGGGCCGCGCAGGGCCGGCCGCGGTCGCCGCCGCGGGATCGCCGGCCCGGGGCCAGCAGCGTTTCCTCCGCCGCTCGGTCCGCTTTTGTCTGCGCCGCTCGGGGAGGCGGTCACGTCTGAGCTTTTCCACTTTTCAGGCCATCTTGTGCCTGGGCCGTGTCGTCTGCACAGGACCCGGGGATCGGAGACACTGTAGGTAAGTTTGGCGGCTTTTTCATCGCTCCCGCTCCGGGACCCCTTTCCCCTCCCTCCCGGCTCCGGGGCGAACACGAGCGGCCCGGGTTCTGGAAAAGCGCAGCGAGAGGGGCTGGGGAGGCCGGAAAGGGGGTGGATCCTGCAAGCTGGCGCGGAGTCTGGGTGCGGGGAGAGCGGGGAGAGCCGGGAGGGAGCTGTCGGCGTTTCCCTGCTCGCCTCCCAGGCCGCGGGCTCCGCGCCCCTCCCCGGCGCGCCAGGCGCCCCCCGCTCGGGCGGCCGGCGGCTCGCGGCGACGGCGAGGCGGCCTGGGATGCGAGAAGCCCTGCACTTGGGCGCGCTGCCCCGGGGTTTCGACCTCGGGCCCGGGAGGTTTGCAGAGCGGGGGTTCCCGGCGGCTGCGGCCACGCACGCCCTGGTGTCTCCGGGTGAGCGCGCGTCCAGAGGCGCGAGAGCCGCGTCCTCCCACGGGGCGCGCGGGCACAGCGGCTCTTCGCGGGGGGCGGCGAGCATTGGTTCGGACCGGGCGAGCAGCTCTCGCTGCCGGACGGGCGCAGGCGCGCCCACACCCACAAAACTCACTGTCGG